AACGATCACAAATGCTGCAGTGCTTGGACCTAGCAGGTCTGAATCAACAGGAGGAAAACAAATCAACTAAGTGTTTATTGCAGAGAAGTTTCAAGATGCTACTACTAAAGCAATCAACTCACTTTCGAATCTTGCAAGTTGAACATTCTTTCTCTGAATAGATGATGTTGTCATATGGATAAGAAGAGATATATTGTCGAACATTCTCGGTATTCACAGTTCCTGGATCAGAGAAGCTAGTCAATAGAAAGAGTATAATACCCACACCAACTGCCAACAAGCTTGTGTACCTGCGAGAATACATAATGACAAAAGAAATTCAAAAAGAGATCACATTAAAAAGCAGCTAAATAAGGCAAAAGAGTAAGCATATGCACTCCTTCCGCACCTGTGAACTCCACTTAGATAGTATCCAGGAATATAGCCAAAGGATGAGATTACTATAATGTAATAAGTAACTCCAATAATTGCCGAGTATATGACCTGCAACAAAGAGGTAACATGGATTAATAAGCTCATTCCCAGTCATTTTCCCCTTTTTGCATAGTTTGCACAGAATCAGATAGCAGGCCCAAAGAAAATGTCACGGGTGCTAATAGATTGAATATATCTACTACATTACCCCCATAAAATTCCTTTGTTTCTGCATTTTTGTCACAAAAAAAGGAATGGCAGTATAAATTAGTCAAAGTAATAAGGAATTTTAAGGTTTAGGGTTCTGGTCAAAAAAACTATGGTATATTTTAAAACTAGTTGCATGGCAGATAAAATTTGAAGAAAAAGCAACTTTATCACCAAATGCAGGCCACTTAATTAATTATATCTGGAATGAAAAAGTTGTGGAGATGATGAAATAAGGATAGATTTTCCATTTGATGAATAAGTGTGATTTTTATTTACCATTTAATCATGGAGTCTTCGTATTTAAAGCCTAGGGCAAAGGATGAATTGACAATGTCAAAAGTAAAAATATCTAAAGCATCTCAAAGAACATCATCTTCTCCATGCAAATAAAACCAAAAAAAAAGACAGTGCTTAATGTCTATGAAACACAGGCACTCAAATTTGGACTCTAGTATCAGTGTCTGAAGTTTGGGACACAAACACGTTCGACATGCTCCGAACACGTATCAGACATGCGAAAATAAGAGGGGTTTTTAAATTTCGAACACGCGGATATGTTATTCCAATTACAAACCTATTGAATACCCTAGCCCTAAATATAGAACACGAAAGTAATTCGTCCACTTGAAAAGTAGATATCACAGCGTCTGTCGAAGACAAACAAATTTGCGTTGCATCAATGACAATTATGGAAAGACATTGAAGATTGGTGACTACAAAGACAAACATAGTCGATGAAGATGAACAAAGTCGCAGAGCATGACTAATGAAAAAGAAAGGAGTAAGAGAAATATGGCAATGGACAAAAGAGCCCAAGAGACGATGTTTGCGAGAGAGATGGGAGAGAGAGAGAATAATCAACACATAAGGCAAAGCACTTACCGAAGAAGCTTGAACGGTCTGTTTTGATTTTTCTGATTTCTTGATTGGAAGGAAATCACTTTGTAATGCTCAAGCCTGACACGTAGTGTTTATGGATAGATTTTTCTAGACCTCTCTTATTTGCTCATCCATTTTGAAATGATCATGTATGGTTGGAAGTGAAATCAAAATATACAACCGGTGCATTTCATTGGAAGGCTTAACCCAAAAAGCATAACCTTTTTTTTTTTTTTGTGGGATTGGGGAGTCTTTTGTTTGGTCCGACAACCTTTATGTGGTGAAGTGTAATTGGACCACTCTTGGGTTGCTTGCGTATATTTTATATATATTTCATGCTTATATATGTGTGTGTGTGCCCATGTGTGTGGCCCAAGAATGTAAAGACCTATGTGGGAAGGTAAGCCTTTCCGCTTTTGTGTACCACTCATGAACGATATAGGCAAGCCACTTACCAAGTAGACTTAAGCCCTTATGGAGATCCTCCATTCAACCATGTTTTCCACAGTTACTAGTCCTTGCATGACCCCAATAAATCCATATGAATGATAGTTGTAAAAGAGAAATCTTGATTCACCATATAGTGTACCAACATATGAGTAATCATGTCCCCAGGGTTCAAGTAAAACACCCATTACAAAGCAGCTTGCCCTTTTATACAAAATTGTCTATGGTGAGGATTTTTACCAGTATAACTATCCAACTGAAGTATGAAACAAATGTTTTAAAAGCAGCCATTAAATAACTAATTGGTTGTAATGAAATTTTTTTTCTTATAATACAGAACTCACAGGATTCAAAATACAAGATTTTTTCATGCAATCTTGGGTTATTTTGTGTACCATATTTTCTGAGCAAAGCTGACACTCAACCTTTCTTATCTACCCAATCCAGAGCCAAAACCCTAAGCTTAAAAGAACAAGCTCTAGAAGCATCTGAATTTAATATAACGTAATTGCACAAGCAAATTGTTTAGGCATAAAACAAATGGCCTTTGCCCAATGAGCCTGTCAAAGTACCGTACTATATCTGTATGTACAAAGGCAACTATATACATCCAACCTAACACATAACTCATTGCCACCCCTGGATTAACCAACGCTAAAAGCTAGCAAACATACTAATCTAATGCTTCTCTCCTCCAATTTGGGGACCTTCCAAGTTAAACTAAAATCTTCAAAGTGTCCAACATTTGAAAGTCAAAATGATGGTTAATTATATACTCACCATTATGTTTGAGCCCAACGCACCACTAACAGCAAGCTTAATGCACATTTCTCACTTTTTTTATTTTCCATTGTTTAAAGAAACAAGGATATTATCATAACAAATTAGAGACAAGTAAAGAAAGGACAAGGTGTCCTTCATAAAGAGAAAATAACACAAAAGAGGGATTAAAAAAATTAAAAATCATGGAAACAATTCATGCGGAACATTACCACCCACCTCCCTGTACTTCCTTAACTGACTATAGACATATGTTCTTATTGAGAATACACTTCATCAAAAGCTTAAAAAAATAAAGAACAAACATGTGGGTAACTTATTGACTTGACTTGCTTGAGGCCATGCTTCCCAGTAGAAGTCAACAGTTCGTTCACTTAAAAAATATTTCAAAAAAAATGAAATTTTCTGTAATTCTTATTATCATATTTTTCTCACACAATTCCCATTTAGCTGATTTTTCACAATTTATAAGTTTATTTTGGTGGCATTTTTAGTAGTTATAAAAATAAAATCGGCAATATCTATCCAGAAAACATTTGTCAAAACTTTATTAGAAAAAGGGCATTACCCGATTTTTGGTTTTCCCCAACCCAATGTCTCGGGAGGAATAAACTAGGTACAAACCTAACATTCGGTGTTTTTCCCACAAAATAATTGCCCCATGTGAATCTTTACAATTGCTAGCCCGAGCATTTTACTATTGCCCAAGGCAATGACCCCATAGAAATCAAAACACTTTATTTTAAACCCAAAAATACCAAAGCTCATTTAGAAATGGAGTCAAAAGTTCCCATTGTAACATAGAGCTCTAGAGGTTATATGAATTAGACAGCAAACAAAATCAACAACCACAATCAACTAAAATGGGTAATTGAAGAGCAGTTATAATCAGGTAAAACTTAATAGGCCTCTTTAGTATGCTTTAGCTATTATGATGCAACAAAATAACAAAAACCCGGGTATGATAACTTAATCAAGAAAATAGAGTCAATTCCAGAAAAAGACCACGTAGTGAGACAACCTCAAAAAAGGCAAAATTCAAACTAGGTACCAAGATTTGGGAATCTACCTACTAAAGGAAACAACCCTTTGGTATAGGTGAAGGGGCTGGTTAATAGCAACCATATAAAAGGGAACATATTCTTATTGAGTCTATCTTTTCTCCTGATGTGTCTAAAGTAAATTTGGCATTGCCACTGAGCCAAACAGACCAAGATGCTGGGAGATATTATGAGGTGGTCTAGTACTTTTAGCGGCCTGTACACTGTGAGAAGTGGTTATGACAGAATGCAATCCAGAACATGTCACCATGGAAGAAGTGATAAAGCCACATGTTCATTTACAGTGCCTGAGGAGTTATGGCAAATTATATAGAAGTTGTAGGCCCCACCAAAAGTTAAAATGTTTTTCTGGAATATTGTCACAGTATCTTTGCCAACTAAATGGATTCTATGGAGAAGAATATGATGAAATCTCCCATGTGCCCAATCTGTGGAGAGGAGGGGGAGGCATTGGAGCATCTATTTTTGATATCTTCCTGGACTTGCAAAATACGGAGTACATAGAAAAATGATTGCCGGAAGTCATGAAATCTCTATATTAGAATGGAGTGGAAGAAGGTATAGGACAGTCATTGGTGGCATTCATGTTGTGGTCCTTCTGGAAAGCAAAAAACCAATGGGTCTTTTAGCACAGATTGATGTCATAAAGAGCATTAATAAACCAAGTTGTATTTGTAATAAAAGGCCAAGATGTCAAAGAGTGGGGAGGGAAATGAAGAAACCTGCTTCGACTACACCCCCATTGGGATGGATCAAAATTAATTGTGACGGAACTTTTAAGGAGGAGGATCAGAAATAGGAATATGGCTTAATAGTTAGGAACCCTAATGGAGGCATCGTATGGTGTGAATATGNTGCTTCGACTACACCCCCATTGGGATGGATCAAAATTAATTGTGACGGAACTTTTAAGGAGGAGGATCAGAAAGAGGAATATGGCTTAATAGTTAGGAACCCTAATGGAGGCATCGTATGGTGTGAATATGGGGTGATGTTAGCAAGATTCCCACTGTTAGCTGAGGCATGGGCAGTAATAAGAGCCTGCAATTGGGCAGTGGAAAATAACTGTCCAGCAACCATCATAGAATCTGATTTGAAGGTGTTGATTGAGTCTCTACAAAAAGGACCACCACACAGCTGGATACTTGGGAGTTTGCTTTGCACATGACTGCTCTGGAATGGAGGGTGNTGAAGATGTTGATTGAGTCTCTACAAAAAGGACCACCACACAGCTGGATACTTGGGAGTTTGCTTTGCACATGACTGCTCTGGAATGGAGGGTGATTGGAAGAGAAAGTAACAGCCCATTGGGTAGCCTTTCAGACTATTAGAGGAAATCTTCATGCACAATGAAACTATTGTATACCTACAGAATTGCAGAATATATGTACTAGGGATGTCCAACCTGGTATAGGATGAAATGATGTATTCCTAAACTTGTATTGATTGTTTGTTTGGCATCAATGAAATGACGGATTCTGACCCCAAAAAAAAAAGACCACTTCCCCCAGATTGCAAATATAAACTAAAAAAGGTACAACTAAACAGCCACAACCACCACAAAAGCAAAATTAAAATAAAGTCAGGTATCAAAATCCAACAATGCCCTTATTCTAAGCAAGCAAATGAAAGTAAACAATAGCCCTGAATCTATTGTATCACAAACACATCTAACCAACTCAACAAGCAAATCCTAAAATAAACAAATTAACTTAAATTCAATCTCAACAGGCTCGCCATTACAATCACCAATATTAATGCATTGACTTTTTAAAACAAAACCACCATATTGATCAACTCAATCCAAATTTCACTAACATTTTGGAGAATTATACATACATAAATACACAAGTAAATCTTAATAGAGAAACCTGTAAAATAGGATTAGGTCGATCGCAGCAATAATACTCCACAGAAAGTAACGCATTGGTGCCCTTAGAGCCGCACAAAACATGAACAAATCGCCTGCAGAAACAGATAATTAGGGTAGAACCTTATCAATCTGAGAAAAATATCAAAACAGAGAGAGAGATTAGATACCGGAAATAATCGTAGGCACCGAAGGTAAGGAAGTAATGGATGCGTTCGATGAAAGTGCCTTCGAAGATTGGCCATTGACCGCAGAGGAATGATGTAACGACTAGCAGTGTGACCAGACCATGGCACACCAGAAACCACTGTACGGCCATGGACGGTTGAGAGAGAGAGTTTTTGGAAGAGAAGACTGCGATTATTACCGTGGGGGAGACTAATATTTGGCTCGTTTGGTTAAATTGACCAGAATGATTACAGTTGGTGATGTCAAACTATTGGATAAATTTCACTCACACCCCCAATGTTAGGTGATATCTCAATGATATCTTTTTAAATTTTTGAAATATCATTACACATCGCGTCAGTTTTTGTCAGTTATCGAAGTTAACGGAGAACGTGATTTTATCCCGTTATCCTTATCAGAACTCCCATGTTATATTAAGGGTGCAATTCTGGCGGGTTGGACAGTCAACTCTAATCCAACCTTAAATATATAATCTTCAATCATAACCCTACCTCAGATTTATAAACTCAACCCGAGCACTAACCGAGTTTAATTCGGGCAGGCTCGAGTTAATAATTTTAATCTGATTTTGAGTTATTTTACGGGCTGATTTCAAATTATTTTAATTAAGTTATTAACATAAAAATCATAATATTATGAATTNTAAACTCAACCCGAACACTAACCGAGTTTAAATCGGGCAGGCTCGAGTTAAATTCGAGTTAATAATTTTAATCTGATTTTGAGTTATTTTACGGACTGATTTCAAATTATTTTAATTAAGTTATTAACATAAAAATCATAATATTATGAATTTAATGGGAGAGATAATGCAACCATAACCGTACATAACACAAATAAACACAACCAGAATCCTTGCACAACCAGAGGCGAAGACGAAAGAGGCTGAGAGAGGACTGAGGGCTGAGACTTTGACGTAGAGGTTGAGAGAGGGAGGAGTTGCAGGAGAGAGGGATCTGAGAGTGAGAGTGAGAAACTGAGAGTGAGTGGGGGTTTAAAGGAGGCGCAGACTTGAGTTGAAATTAATCCTATGATAAAATTGTATGTATATAGTATTAATTCGGGTTGAAGTCGATTATTAAATCGGGTTGAGCCCGATTTTAATATTCGGGTTTAACCCGTGAACCCGATGGCTCAACCTGATACCCGCTCAAATTGAATTCAGGTTGAGATTTTTTGACACAAGCCCAACCCAAGCTCTAATTTTTTCTGGTTAGAATCGGGTTGAAATCGAATTAGTCCGCCCAAATTAAACCCCTATGTTACATACAGTGTTATTGAAATTTATCTTTATATTTTTTTATCGGAGNCAACCCGTGAACCCGATGGCTCAACCTGATACCCGCCCAAATTGAATTCAGGTTGAGATTTTTTGACACAAGCTCAACCCAAGCTCTAATTTTTTCTGGTTAGGATCGGGTTGAAATCGAATTAATCTGCCCAAATTGAACCCCTATGTTACATACAGTGTTATTGAAATTTATCTTTATATTTTTTTATCGGAGGAATTTATATGTACATTTCATATATAAATACTAGTAATAATTTGTATTTAAATGCACTTTGTAACTTAAAAAAAATATTCAATTTGAAGTAGTTTTTTCGGCAAAATTTATTCTAAAATTAGGAGCTTAAAAAAATCTCAACCTATTTACAAAGTATATATATCTCATTGTATGTATCATTGCTTGAGACAATTGCATTGTCCAATACAAATTATTGCATAACCATCTCAGAGTAAATTNACCATTGCATTGCCCAATACAAATTATTGCATAACCATCTCAGAGTAAATTACTCAACTTAACTCAAAGACATCATCATATTGTAGTCACTAAAAAAACCTTATCAATTAATTCATACATTCATACGAAAAAAAAAAGTATAGAAACAAATCTAAACTAATCTATAATCTCTTCAATAAATATAATATTGTCCATAAATCAAATCAAACCAAATCACCCAAGAAGATTACAAACTTGCAACAACCAATCCGTAAAAAATAGTCCACCAAACCCAATATTCCATATAAAATAGAATTTAAAAAAGTTCAAGAACAACAACATATTTTACAATCATCAATAGAAAAATAATACAACCATTAATATAAATTCAAAAAAGAATGTATAATGTATAGGGCATTTGAGAAACTCATAGACAATTTTCGTGAGGTGAATTGTAGTTTACATTGGTGTAAGGCTTCATCTATGCCAACCAAAATCAAAACTCCACTGCAACTTCACAATGTAACACCACCCTGCAAAATTAATATGATTTCAAAATTAAAATCAAGTAATTCTTCATATGAATCATCACAATAAGATTCAATAACTAAAAAAAAAAACNAATACACAAGTAAATCTTAATAGACAAACCTGTAAAATAGGATTAGGTCGATCGCAGCAATAATACTCCACAGAAAGTAACGCATTGGTGCCCTTAGAGCCGCACAAAACATGAACAAATCGCCTGCAGAAACAGATACTTAGGGTAGAACCTTATCAATCTGAGAAAAATATCAAAACAGAGAGAGAGATTTGATACCGGAAATAATCGTAGGCACCGAAGGTAAGGAAGTAATGGATGCGTTCGATGAAAGTGCCTTCGAAGATTGGCCATTGACCGCAGAGGAATGATGTAACGACTAGCAGTGTGACCAGACCATGGCACACCAGAAACCACTGTACGGCCATGGACGGTTGAGAGAGAGAGTTTTTGGAAGAGAAGACTGCGATTATTACCGTGGGGGAGACTAATATTTGGCTCGTTTGGTTAAATTGACCAGAATGATTACAGTTGGTGATGTCAAACTATTGGATAAATTTCACTCACACCCCCAATGTTAGGTGATATCTCAATGATATCTTTTTAAATTTTTGAAATATCATTACACATCCCGTCAGTTTTTGTCAGTTATCGAGGTTAACGGAGAACGTGATTTTATCCCGTTATCCTTATCAGAACTCCCATGTTATATTAAGGGTGCAATTCTGGCGGGTTGGACAGTCAACTCTAATCCAACCTTAAATATATAATCTTCAATCATAACCCTACCTCAGATTTATAAACTCAACCCGAACACTAACCGAGTTTAAATCGGGCAGGCTCGAGTTAAATTCGAGTTAATAATTTTAATCTGATTTTGAGTTATTTTACGGACTGATTTCAAATTATTTTAATTAAGTTATTAACATAAAAATCATAATATTATGAATTTAATGGGAGAGATAATGCAACCATAACCGTACATAACACAAATAAACACAACCAGAATCCTTGCACAACCAGAGGCGAAGACGAAAGAGGCTGAGAGAGGACTGAGGGCTGAGACTTTGACGTAGAGGTTGAGAGAGGGAGGAGTTGCAGGAGAGAGGGATCTGAGAGTGAGAGTGAGAAACTGAGAGTGAGTGGGGGTTTAAAGGAGGTGCAGACTTGAGTTGAAATTAATCCTATGATAAAATTGTATGTATATAGTATTAATTCGGGTTGAAGTCGATTATTAAATCGGGTTGAGCCCGATTTTAATATTCGGGTTTAACCCGTGAACCCGATGGCTCAACCTGATACCCGCTCAAATTGAATTCAGGTTGAGATTTTTTGACACAAGCCCAACCCAAGCTCTAATTTTTTCTGGTTAGAATCGGGTTGAAATCGAATTAGTCCGCCCAAATTAAACCCCTATGTTACATACAGTGTTATTGAAATTTATCTTTATATTTTTTTATCGGAGGAATTTATATGTACATTTCATATATAAATACTAGTAATAATTTGTATTTAAATGCACTTTGTAACTTAAAAAAAATATTCAATTTGAAGTAGTTTTTTCGGCAAAATTTATTCTAAAATTAGGAGCTTAAAAAAATCTCAACCTATTTACAAAGTATATATATCTCATTGTATGTATCATTGCTTGAGACAAACCATTGCATTGCCCAATACAAATTATTGCATAACCATCTCAGAGTAAATTACTCAACTTAACTCAAAGACATCATCATATTGTAGTCACTAAAAAAACCTTATCAATTAATTCATACATTCATACGAAAAAAAAAGTATAGAAACAAATCTAAACTAATCTATAATCTCTTCAATAAATATAATATTGTCCATAAATCAAATCAAACCAAACCACCCAAGAAGATTACAAACTTGCAACAACCAATCCGTAAAAAATAGTCCACCAAACCCAATATTCCATATAAAATAGAATTTAAAAAAGTTCAAGAACAACAACATATTTTACAATCATCAATAGAAAAATAATACAACCATTAATATAAATTCAAAAAAGAATGTATAATGTATAGGGCATTTGAGAAACTCATAGACAATTTTCGTGAGGTGAATTGTAGTTTACATTGGTGTAAGGCTTCATCTATGCCAACCAAAATCAAAACTCCACTGCAACTTCACAATGTAACACCACCCTGCAAAATTAATATGATTTCAAAATTAAAATCAAGTAATTCTTCATATGAATCATCACAATAAGATTCAATAACTAAAAAAAAAAACCTTTTCAACAACAGGTGTTAAAGTAATGACTAAAATATATTGTGCCTAAAAATTGGTACCCATTATGGTATCTCATTTTCTTACTAAGCTTTAAAATATAATTGAAACTTAAGTAATACAAAAAATTTAAAAAAGTTAAAGAGAGCAAGGGTAAAAAACCCATAAAAACTCGTTAACTTTCTCTAATGGCGGAACTAACTCACAATGTTATTGGAACCTTAAAATTGAAACCTCTACACTAAAAACCTCAATTTAAAAACCCTAGTTTATTCAAATACAAGTAGACAAAAAAGGATAATAGAAAAACTTTGCAAGTGCAATAATCCCTTTTAAACACAATCATTTACCAACTATCACATAAATTTCAATTCACTAACAACAATTAGGTAATGGGAGTATGTGCGATGGGAGTGTGAGTGTGAATTGTTGTTGGTGTGTACTATGTGATGTTTTGTGTACTGTGCGTGTGATTCTAAGTGTGTATTGAAGGTTGAGAGGGGGGGACCTGGACCGTGTTTGGTCACTTGTCCATGGCATCAATTGGACAACCTTTGATACATCTATTGCATTATCCAAAGTAATTTAAACCCAAATGAATAAGTATCAAATGTCAACCCTATAAACCAAATAGAGGTCA